CCAGTTCTCTTTTTAATAGGTTTGTATAAAACCCTCCAAACTGGTTTCACACCAATGTCCAAGTTCAGTTTCTGTCTCCACACAGTGTCAGCTCTCTGGTTCAGCTTGTTTGTTGAGCACTTTTACGCAGTTTGTGTAGATAGTTTTCCCTTTCACTGTGTGGAGGTCCAAGAGTTTACGCTCTGCTTCATTGAATAATGGTCCTGAGACCCCATTCAGCCGTGGAATAAGTTCTAGATCCGGAAAAGGATCTGTGGAGTCAGGAGCTTCCTCTCCTCTTTCGTACTCCTGCAGCATCTCGACCTCGTCCTCCGTCAGTCTCCCCGCCAACCTGCTCAGGATCCTCTTGATCTGCCAGATGGATTTCAGCCCGAGCAGAGAAGCCCCTGCAGGTGCGTCTGTCAGTCCGGGCCCAGCTACATCCACTAATCTCCTCAGGGTGGTGGTTCCGGAGGAGCACAGCATGCTGGTCAGACCTGGTGTTGTGCCGTCTTGGATGTCCTACCTGGCTCCATACACCAGTGGTTCTTGAAGCAGCCAGTGTAGTGAGCATGTGGGTTCCGGTCTCATCCATTTAAAACAGTTCCATGCCTTAAAAAGCGACTGGTAAAAAGGAGATAATCCACACAATTTAAAAAGGTTAAAATCCATTTTAAAAAGTGCAGTGTCTAATCCCAGACCAGCTGCCTTCCTTAAAATGCAGTCTGTCACCTCTCCACACCACATCCGTTGGACCTGTAAGGTACCTTTGCAAAAACTGGAACCTGAAAGTAGTCACTCTGCTGTCGATGTGCACGAGCCCCTGACCCCCCTCCTCTTTAGGTAAAAAGAGTACGCTCTGAGGGACCCAGTGCAGCCTGTCCCAGAAGAAGTCTGTGAGGATGGCCTGTAGTTTCTGTGTGAGGCCTCCATGCAGGCCAGCTTGTGCCAAAGAGCTGAAACTACCAGATTGTTGATGACCAGAGTCCTGCCTCTGTACGACATCTGTGGCTTCAGCCATTTCCACTTTGCCAGTCTTCTCTGTATTTTCTCTACAACTCCCTCCCAGTTCTTCTTTACAATACAATCATTCCCCACATACACACCAAGATATTTAAACCCGTCCTTTTCCAGGTCAACCCCCCTGGTAGACTGGGTAGATCCTCCCTCCAGTTCCCCACTGCCAGTGCTTCTCTCTGTGCCCAGTTCACCTTTGCAGCTGACTGGGTGCCGAAGTCTTTCACAATAGTTGTCAGTTTGCTGACCTCCTCTTGATTTTTAACAAAGACCACAACTTCATCACCGTAAGTCGATAAAATAAAACTTTTGTTAAAACCTGACCTTCAATGTTCGCTCTGATTTTACACAACATGGGTTCAATAGCCAGCGCATACAGCATCCTTGAGAGAGAGCAGCCCTGTCTCACCCCTCTAAATACTCTAAAGGGGGCACTTAGACCTCCATACATTTTTAGTACACTCTCAATGTCCTGGTACAACACCTTGATCATAGCTATGAGACCTGGGCTGAGGCCAAAACTCCCTAGAGTCTTCCAGAGGTAAAGGTGCTCAACCTGGTCAAAATACTTTTCCTGGTCTAGCAAAATGAGACCAGTTTTAATGCCCAAAGAACCAGAGATGTCCAAAATATCACGAATTAAGGACACATTGTCCAGGATACTCCTACCAGGCACGCAGTAGGTCTGATCTCGGTGGATCACCTGGTCCATCACCTCTCTCAGCCGGTTGGCCAGCGCTTTGGACAGGATCTTGTAGTCCGAGCAGAGAAGGGACACAGGACGACAGTTCTTGATTTCTTGCAGGTCTCCTTTTTTTGGTAAAGTAATTACTGCCCTCCTGCAACTGAGCGGCAGCGTCATGTCCTTAAAACTCTCGTTAAAAACAGTTAAAGGATCCTCTCCCATCACGCTCCAGAAATATTTGTAAAGCTCTATTGGGATCCCATCAATTCCTGGGGCCTCCCCCTCCCCCATGCCCTGCAGCGCCGCGTACAGTTCTCCTACCACCAGAGGACCCTCCAACCCGGCGTTCACGTCCTCTGAGACCTTTGGCAGCTCTCCACAGAAAGAGTCAAACAGTTCATTGTTATTAATGTATTCTTCAGAGTAGAGTTCAGAGTAGAAACTCACGCTGTCCTCCGGATCTCGTTTGCGTCTCTGAGTTCTTGCCCTGAATCAGAGCGTAGAGCATGGATAACCCTGCTCTGCCCAGTCTTCTTCTCCAGTCCGAAGAACTTTGATGGTGCGTCCATCAGCGCTGCATCCATGAAGCGGGACCTGACCAGCACCCCCTGAGCCTTAGTGCCCAGCAGGTCTTTAGACTTGAGATCTTTAATGTGATCTTGATTTCCAGTGGATTCTGCTAAACTCTGCAGCTCCACGATTTCAATCTCCAGATCCCTCATAGATCTGGTAATGTCCCGTGTGACATTGAGAGTGTACTGCTGACAGAGCTGCTTTATCTCCACCTTCCCACGATCCCACCACTGTTTTAAAGAGTTAAAGTCATGCTTTTTTTTTTCTTTAAAACTGCTCCAAAAAACCCTAAAAACCTCTTTTAAAATGTGTATCATCTAAAAGAGATGTGTTAAAATGCCAGTATGCGCTTTTTGACTTTACGTTAGGGATACAAATGTTGCACATAACCAGAGCGTGGTCAGTAAACCCAACAGGCAGCATGCTGCACTTTTTAAAAATGTTAAAATGGTGTTTAAAAAACAATAAAACCTGTCCAGTCTAGCGAGGGAAATTAAATTGCCTCTCGAATGAGCCCACGTATACTGTCTCTTGTCTCCATTTCTCCTCCTCCACACATCGACCACCTCATGCTCCTCTACCAGCTGCCTCAGTGCTCTCTGTGAAGGCCCATGAGGTTCCAGGTGGTTCCTATCTATTGTCTGGGCAGCTCTCTGGTTATTGTCTCATCTCTAATGAACGGTGGGACGTTCGACACAGTGATTTTTACCGCCGGTGTGCTGAGAGGAAGAACGGGTACGAAGGTGTCAAACACCACGATCCCGTTCTCCACCACCGTGTTGGCCTTATGTATGCTATCTAAAAAAATGACTACAGCATGTTCCATCCTTGCAGCGGATTTCATGTTGCTGTGGCCGACAACCTTCCCCACTGCCAGGCTACAGTCTTCCACCGAACACGCGAAACACGGCGCGATCTTCACGCCGTGTTTCCTGGTTAGCTTGTGCAGGTCCATGCTAGTGCTTAGCACACCGACCAGCGCGCGTTGATCGACTGCACACAAACAAAGACTCTACAACCAGCTAAAAGTACACACAAAACCCCGTGAACCCTACACACCACAATACACTACCATATACAACATTACCCAGTGAAGAAAAATATCGAAGAATCGCTGGTATCACTCTCAAAACCACGCTCCGTCAACTCCGTACTCCTTCCACTCAGAGACAGAGAGAGAGAGAGAGCACGTCTTGCAATACTGTTCCTGACTCTGTCCAAAGCCAAGATAAGTTTCACTAAGGATGTCATCTGCTTCCAACCAGCCAGCTGGACTTTATTTTCTTTTGTTACACATTTAAACAATCTACAAAAAAAGGGCTTTGCCAGCTTAGACATGTTGTGAGCAAAAGGTGAGTATATGTGGGTTTGTTTTTCAGCCGGCTCTCTCATGGTCCTGCCTTAAGAAAAGCTGTTGTTAGATGTGGCCTTTCTGTCTGTGTCAGGTCACAGCCTGCAAACCCAAAACATAACCTCAAAACGATGGCTCATATGAGGCTCATATGAGGACACTCTGTGCCTCAAGGAAAATACAAACAGCAGATGTCGTGTGGAGGTAAAGTGAGAAGAGGGAAAAGTCAGTGTACCAAATATCCTGCCTCAGACCAGAATGATTCTCCTTCTCCTTTTTTGCCCTGCGGCACAGCAGCTCCTTGGCTTGGTCACACCTCAGATCCAGCTACCTCTACCCCTGTAGTAGTGTGCAACCATTCTCTAGCAGGACACCCACCCCTCGTTCTATGCCATCTCCATGTTTCTTTTTGACATCAAATCAAACTCTGCAACAAATCTTTCCACTGTAGATTATTAATAATTCATCTGCCCAGACCATGCTCTCCAGTGAATAATTGCTATAGTTATTTATGTATCTGATAATCCATTACCTGAGGAGCATCTGCTCTGATAACCCCATCACTGAAAAAAACCTAAACCACTTATTCCTTCCCCCTCTTCAACTCGAGGTCTAAATTCCACTATGGCCACAATTATAAATTTGTTAGAGCTACTTGAGAATAGCACAGAACCCTTCACTTTACTAAACACAACACACTGCATTCAAAATCGTTTTGATTATTTATAGTACAATGATCTTGAAAGCAGGATGTTACTGTATAGTGTATTCATGCACCAGAAGTCATTAGCACAGACTTGTGGGATGATGCACACTGCGTTTTGCTTAGACAATCAAATATTGTGCAGAGTAAAGCCAATCATGGTAAAGTATATGAGAGAAAATGTTTGATTAATGCTCACATGTATATTTAAATGTAATTTAATGAATGTTGATACTCGTAAGAGCTCATATATGTGTTATCTGTTCCGTAGCTCTTACAGTGCTTTCTGGAGAAAGGTCATAAGGAGAACATAACCTGTAGGAAACACAATTCTACCAACAAAATCAACTTATTTAGACACCACCACGGAGCTCGTCACAGATCAACCTACCACACCGGTCAGCAGGCTGGTAACAGAAAGCGGGGCCAACCACTCAAGTCTGCAGGGGCCCAGCAGAGGGCGCTCATGTGACACACAACACACTTGTCTCCGTGGGAAACGAATAATACATTGTAAATGATATTGACAGAAATAGAAGAGGAAATAATATGAAAATGATATGGCTTAGTAATAACTTAAATTCACAGTAATATTAGCAAATAATGGCCAGTGGAATCATTACCTCCGTTACACTCACTGAGGACGAGCTCGGTTCTTACTGGTTGATCTTTGAGCTCGGCTTCAGAGAGGAATGAGCTCTTGGTCAGTTATAACTGACCACTGACTGAAAAATAAAACCCCGAACTACAGCTCATAAATAACACTGAGCTGCCAGATGTACATTCCACTTGAACACTTTCTATCAGACATATTTTTGTTTGCTTTTGTTCTTATTTGCTGATTAAAAAAGTCATGATTTTTTTTTATTTATCAACCCTGACACCCCCCCCCCCCC